TTGCCTTTAAAAGATTCCTGTGCCAAGCATTAAAGGGACAAAGGGTAGCTGTGTGCAGCATGCAATGAAGGATGTTTGCTCGCTGGTTGTTTTATGAAAAACCTAATTATTTTGCCCTGATTTAAGCTAAATTCATTAGTTCAATCTCATCAACTTTTCTTCTGATTGACTTGTTTTTTTTCTTTTGGGTTGGACCTGGATGATCTCTGATAGGACTCCAAGTCAGCACATTAACGCACCAGAGGAGAAATAGGGAGAATGGAGTAGTGGTTGAGTCTGTTTGCATCTTTTTAGGAGAGTTGAATGAGTCTTTTAGGTTTTATTGATTTTATTAATGATTTATTAATTGAATAAGGGGACTTTAGGTTGTTAGAGGTCCATCAACGTCTCTTTCTGTTAGTTCCAAGATATTAGGGATATTTACTTAATTCTTATATTTATTCAATTGTAATTTCTGCATTATAAATATGTTAGCCATCCTATAAGCTAACATATGAGAGAAATAAATATTTGTTCAGTAATTTGGAGATTCTCCTTCTGGCTACTAAATCTAGTTAAGTGAGATCCTTGCTTAAGTAAATTTTAGTAGATTTTATCCCGGCCATTAGTGAGTTGAGAGTGAGATTCTTGCCTCAACCCTCTACTAGATTCTATTTCAGTTTTTTTTTTATTCACTTAATTATCTAGCCATTTGGGTTCTACCAATCTCTGACATATAACTGCAATATCCTAGAATCTACTATTTGGCTGAAGAAAAATGGTAGTTGGTAGATGTTTAGGCGTGAGAAATAACAAACCGGCCACTGTCTTGTAAAATACCATTGAACGTGCCAATGATTGATTTGTGAATCTTATAGTTGTTTGTATCTTAAGCTGATCATTAGCTTGACTTCTTGTCTGACCAGCCAACCCTCTAAATGTATTGTTCCAGGATGTTTTATGGACCAGGTGGACCTTATGCCCTGTTTGCTGGCAAGGATGCTAGCAGAGCTTTAGCAAAGATGTCTTTTGAAGAAAAAGAACTGACTGGGGATATCTCTGGTCTGGGCCCTTTTGAGCTCGATGCCTTGCAGGATTGGGAATACAAGTTTATGAGCAAGTATGTAAAGGTAGGCTCTATAAAAAAGCCAGTCCCAGTAACTGAGGCAGAATCCACTGGTGAACCTTCAGAATCAGTTCCTCGTGATGCTGCTCCCGCTGCCACTGCTGAGCACACTGAAGAGATAAAGGCCCCATCTGGAGCTGAAGCTGTTAAAAGCGAGGAACCACTTTCAAGTGTTGATGCAAACAAAGGGTAATAATGGTTGAATCCTCACGGTATATGTATACTGTCTCTACCAGAGCCGATGTGAATGATTAATCCTTTACGAATGTTTGAAGAAAATGTCAGAGATATTGTCCCTTTCACTATTCTAGGCTACCCCTTCTCCAAAGGAACTTCGCGTGAAGGCCATAGTTTGATCAATAAGTAACTGTTAGTATTTAGTTGAGTTATTTTGTGGATGGAATCCTCCTTTTCAAACCGTGAACGGGTTATATCACAGAGGCAGTAGCTGATCATTTGCTTATGGTTTTTACATCATCCATCCCTTTGATGCATTTCCCTATGTTTTTCTTATACTCCTATAATCACAAGCGCTATTTACTTATAACGTGGTACGCATATGAGCTTTGCAAACAAATACGTATATAATTGTTATATTTTAATTGAAGATTAGGAATTTTCCTCGTGCTATGTATGATGTTTTAAAGTTTCTGAATGCAAGGTGAAGTTTCATCATGGTATGTTTGGTTAGAGGAGAGAGAGGAGGGAAGGAATATGCTCTCCTTGCATTATTTGGTTAAAAAAAAAAATGGAGGGGATGTATTTCCCTTCTCTTGTTTGATTAAATTTAAAACAAAGTGAAGAATTTTTCCTTCCATTCTCTTCTAACCCTCCCCTCAAGGTTAAACTCCACATTGACTGCATGGAACCTCTTCAATTATTGCTCGCAGATAATGGGTTTAGTTACCCTCTGAATTCTGTGATTGCTGATGTGAGATCACTTATCTTCTCTAACTGGGGTCTTGAGACTATGCACTCACAGAAAAGCTCTCAGATGTGCGGTCAGTCTTATTAGAAGAGCTCATAATATGAACTGATTATTTTTCAGGCTCCTCCCGCTTTACGTTTAGGGCAACTTTTGCTTGATTTTAGTGTAATTTACTTGCTGTTTACTGTGTGTTTGTCGCTTAGTTTTGTGACTGCCAACTCAACTTTTCCAGTGTATTCTTGCCTTTCTTATTAAAAATAAAATAAAATCCCCCCCCCCCCCAAAAAAAAAAAATCTTTTTCTATAAGCTACCTCCTTTCCCTTTACCTTCCTTCGTTAAAATGTCATCCTTCCCTTCTCCACTGAGCCAAACAATATGGTAAGGTTCAAAATCTATGGTGGTTATGGAGTAAAGAAAATCAAGCCTCACCCTGACTTCCGTGGACGGGCATGAATCTTCTAAAGTGAGGATTTGTGAAACTTTTGGTCAGGATGTACTCATAATTTTAAAAAAAAATTTAAAAAAAAAAAAGAAGGAAAAGAACAAAAACGAGATTAGGCATATAAGCATATTTAAGATGTTTTATGGATCTTCCCTTCAGACCAGCATGTGGCATGCACTGCCATTAAGCCTTCTGCCATTGCCATATGGCTTAAAGGACTTTAATCATTTAATTGAAATTAGCTTAAGTGAAAATAAAAATCATGCCCAACGGCAAGATCTCAAATTTAAGTTTTGCGAATGAGAAAAAAATTACATCAGGAGAGTCACTCCATTTAGAATCCTAACAATGCTTAAATACTACCTTTGGTCCTAAATATAAGAGCTAATTGACTAATTTGAGTATATTAAGGAAAGAAGTTAAGTTAGTTATTTGTGATAAATAAGTGGTCTTTTCTAAAACATTCTTACTAATCAAGTTTATTGACTAAAAATACTTTTATTAGAAATATTATCTTAAATAAATAAATAAATATAAAAAATAAAATAAATTAGAGTCTTATATATTTAGAACTAAAATAAAAATCAAACAAATTCTTATATTTAAAAAGTACTGTAGCAATTTAACAAAAGAAAGGCATTAACAGTTATTGCGATTGCGATTGAGATGATGTTTCAGCCATCCCAACGTGACTTTTTGGCCCAAAAGCACAGCAGCCTCATTTATATTCTTGTTTGAAATTGCATTTTCGCATTTTGAGCCTCAAATTGAAATGCAATTTTTTTTTTTCTAGATATAAATAGTCTTTTATTAAAGATAATTTTATTTAAGATATCGCGTAAACCTTAATTCATCTTTACTAGACTTAGGCCCCGGTTGGATTGTTATTGGAGAAGGTAAAAGCGCATGAGAAAGTGTGAAACTAAGATTTGTGACTTATTTAGATAAAATTGGTTGTTTAGATGTGTATCTTTTGTAACTGACTTATGAAAAATAGTAACTTTTCTGTTTTATAAAACGTAATCTGGATCAACTTTTCTAATCGACTTATGGGAAAATTGTACAAAGCTTACAATCTAATTAGTTATGTGATTTTATTTACTTTAATTAGAGACCCAATGAATTTAAATTTATATTTATGTTTGTCCATTATGTATATTTAATTAATTATCTACCATATGTTTTCAAATTTTTATTCGTAACAAATATTTTTATTTTATAATTTCACAAATAAACTATTTATATTTTATCATAATAATTTTATGTATTTTTTTAAACTATTATCATATTAAAAACATAAAATTTCAAACACCACTATTTAATAAAGTCCATGCTCTTTTTAGTCATTTTTCAATTAAACTAAATTTTTTATTAATCATCCAAACAACTTTTAATTTTTTCAATTGACTTTTTAAAAGTACCTATTCAAATATAAATCGTATTATACTAATTGATTTTTACTCTAACTTCAATTATAAAAATCAGTTGGGTTAGAAGTTAGTTTTACCCAACTTCAATTCAAACATACCTTATGGGTTAAAATGCAACTTTTTGTTCCGATGCGATGTGTTGCGGTCAATGGGACCCAAAAAAGTTTTTTCCAATGGTCTCTCTGCTTTTCATCTGTCCCATGAGTGAGAGGTGACTAATAATATATTTTAGTGTTTATATTGTTTCTTGTTATTTAATTTATATTTTATTATTATTATTTTATTTAATCAAATTTTTTATTTAAGAAAATTCACATTCTTTTTAATCATTTTATATATAAAACTATTTTTAATTAATCATCCAAAAAAAATTTTAACTTGTGAAACTGGGTTTTTCACAAAGATCAATACAAAGATCAATACAAAAACCTGATTTTTATTCTAACTCATGTTTCTAAAAGTTAAATGAAAGAAGTGTTTGGATATATTTATAAGTGTTTTTTAAAAACATTTTTTCACAAATCTAAATAAATCTCTCTATAAATTTACTTTGTATACTGCAAAATCACTTCTAAAATTATGATTTGATTTCTACCCCAACACTCTGAAATTATAGGGGATTCAAAAGTGTCAACCAAAACCACTTATATTTTAATATCTATCTAGCAATTTCCTCACAATGCCTGTTATTATTATAAAAAAAAAAGTTACAAAATAATAAAAATATACGCTAATCCCAACCTAGCAATTTTGGGTTTGAGAAATCTCTTTAAATTATGAATTAACCAAAAACATATTTTGTAACGAGTCCCCAAAAGGTCTACGGAGGAAGGTGGGGTTGGCCATCTCCCCATAACCGAGGGCTAGAGTCAAAGGGCCATCTACTCAGAAGAACAGTATCAAAATGCAAAGAAGCGATCCATGGTTTTATTTAGTTCTATTTTCTCTTCGCTTTTCTCACCATCTATTAGCATAAGAAGGAAGAAAAAAGATATGGATGGGGGGCATTTTTCTATCCAAAAGTTTATACGGGTTGTAAGAACACAACTTTTAAGAAGTCACAAGTCAAAGGCAGACCATTCAGGCATGGCCACTCAATGAAGTGCCCTGTAATACCATCTCTGCAATGAAGAAGTGAAAGAATTCGCATCTTCTAATCTGTGATCAAGACTGGGCAGGGCAGCTCTATCGGGAGGCGGCGTCACAAAATATGACCGATGTTGGGAGCCAGGACTCTGTGGAATTGAACCACCAGATAACGAAACACTTTGATCTGAAAAGTTGCATGAAAAATGCATTTTGCCAGAATTACTAAAATCAGAAGGGCTTGAATAGTAGCTTAGAGGGGAAAGGCTTCGATCCTTCTTAAGATCACAATGCTGTGAGTTTAGAGTGGATGAAAAAAGATTCATGCCACTGCTGTTGTGAAGCGAAGTTGGATGTTCTGGCAGCATAAAATGTGATGGACCAGATCGATCTGTTTGGCTTCTAACACTTTGGGATGTTCCTGCAGAACCAGAGCGCTGAGGAAAAAGGTTCAAGCTTGAAACTTCAGCATTTGACAAAAGCCTAGCTATCCTCACCTTCAAAACCCTCCCATCCATTTTAAAACCGTTCATATGAGTCACAGCCACTTGTGCATCCGCGGCACTGTCAAACTCAACAAATCCAAAACCTCTACAAATTCCAGTTGTTCGATCCTTGATTGCTTTTACTTCAAGGATCTTACCAAATGGAGAAAACAGCTCAGACAATCTATTATCATCAAACGCTTGAGGCAGATTGCCAACATAAACATTGTTCATCAATGATTTCTTTCCATACCTCCGTTGTCTGCTCTGTGTTGAACCGAAACTAAAACCAAACCCAGAACCCTGCACAGAGTCATTCTGTGGTGATAGCACATCCAAGGGACTGGCACTAAAACATGTATAGCATGAGTTCACTTTAAAAGTTGATTGAAGGTCAGGGCAGGCATATGACAGATGTCCCTCATCACCGCAAACATAGCACATATTTTCATCCCTAGCTGTTCCTTTCAGCATGGCCAGCTCCTTTAATTGAGCCTCCTTGTGCTCATTTCTTCCTTCAACTGGGATTAGCAATTTTTCAACCATGGAAACTGCTCCATCCAGAGAACTTTTGTTGTCTGCTTCTATATACACATGCAAGTCCTCTTTAGAAGAGGTGGATATGTTAGTTGTTTTCGAGCATCCTTTTCCTCTTATGTGAATCTTGGCCCCGGTTTCATTTTCCATTCTCTTCAGTGTGTTTCCACGAGGACCAATTATAAGGCCAACAAAATTGTACTCCGGATATTCTGTCACAGGTATGTAAATTCTTTTGAAGAGTTTCGGAGGCTTGTAATCTGGAGGAGGGCCAAAACATGGATTTGATTTGATCAATTTTGATACGATACTTTGACGCTTCTGCACAAGTTTCTGACGAAGTCTTACTTCTCTTGTATTTATTCTGATGCCATGGTCATCATATATTGGCTCTGGTGATGGAGATCTTTCCTCCCCAAGCCTACATCATGAAGAGGTCCATGCAATCTTCTATTAGTCTCAAAAAGCTCAGCTTTCAGCCCTTGAATTTCAGGATTATTCTCACATCCAAGAAGAAAATCTTTTGTGAAGTCAGGCAACTGAAGTGGCCCCAGCAATTTTAGTTGAGTGTCCTCACTGGACCACCTGGTTTTCCTCCTCTTGCAAGTCTGATTGTCTTTCACGCCATCATCCTCAGACTGTGGTTCCCATCTGCTGCGCCTTCGTTTTCCAGAACTTCCCGTACCTTCTTTGGAAGAACAATTATCAATAGATGCCAGTGAAGTGACAGTGTCATTATTGAGCTCCAACGCTGAATGTCCAGATTCTAATTTCAGGCCAGAAGATCCCACTTGCTTGCACTTCTTTCGTGACTGATAGCATAGCAATGTAGTTAATTCACCAGATGCAACATTCAGACACCTCTTCTTATCATTTGATTCAACAAATCCTGATTTGTGATCATTTCCATTAAGAGATATTTCTTCTAGCTGCTTTTGCTCAACTTCTTCAACACGATCTTCTTCTAGCTCCTCACATGATCCAACTTCTTCATCCTCTGCTTCATTTTTAAGCACTCTGAGGTAGTATTCAATTTGATGCCTAGCTTCACCAACCATACCTGAAAGATTCTGAAGAATGCACTCTTCCTCCAGTAATTCCTTCGCTGATCCTTCAGTTTGCCCAAGATGACACCTAAATTTCTTTATAATACTGGGAACACATGATGATCGAAGCTTCTGCCTATGTTGCGGATAAAAGTAAACCTCAAAATGGTCACCTGCAATGTGAAAGTTCCCTAAGCATGCAAGGAAAAGAACAAGAACATTGTTTCTACAACTAACTAATAAACTCCGCATGCAACCTGGGGAGAATATTATAACATGGTTGGGGAGCACCCAATCTTCTATTGAAGCATATAAAAAGGTGTAAATAATTTGACCATAACTGAATCCAGCAGAAAGCTTAAACATATGAGAATATTTAAACCAACTAGGAATTGCAATAGGAGAAGGTGAGAAGCAGGGAGATGAAACAAGAAGCAATGGCATTGACCTTTGAAACATAACACAGGCAAGCAACAGCCAAGAAACCCAAAAATAGGTGGAAGACAATAGGCCAAAAAAAGGAAATGCAAATTGACACACTAGTTAAATTAGGAAGATAAAAAGCAACCAATAGATTCAGACCAGATAAAACTTAGAATTTCCCATTTGTACGAACCATACTAATAAAGGAGGAAGATCAAAGTGTCCTTCCACCATATTGGATTGAAACACATTTAACACGAGGACATGAAAGAGCACCCCGGGTGGACTCTTACCAAATAACATAATTCAAACAAATTCCAACACATTCCATTAAAAGTCTCAGACACTCGACTGAATTTTCTCTTTAAACCATAGACAGAGGAAATTCTTATGTCAATAATAAATAAAAACTGTCCGGGTTATGATCATCCAAGGCATACGTCTTCCCAACACTAAAAAGCTGCAAGAGCAAAGAAACTTCTCCGCTCTCCAGAAATATCTGTTTTCTAGGGTAAAATTATGGGTTAAACAAGAATAACGAAACCAACACAGTCACGTCAGAAATCAATCGATGGGACTTCTGCCCATATTCATTTTAACGTTTCAAATCCTAAGAAAAGCCGATCGTATCAAACGTTAAATAAGTGCTCAAAACATTGAATCTTTGCGTAAATTTCATTCCACCTCTAGGTCAAACGCTTATGTGATAAGGTGATATCAAAGAATAAAAATGGAGTCCATATGATTCTTGACTAAGGATGGAGCACCGTACCTGCCTTCCTCTAATCCTCTTTGGAATTTTACAAGACCGTAATCCAGCTTGATGAATAATCTTGATGGAAAATCCATCGACTTTATACTTCTGGGAGGGGAGTGAAGCGTCACAACGATAGGAGTGAAAGAAAAATACCTGAGAATGAGAACCCTCCATGCGACGGTTCGCTTTCTGAGACTGGGTGTGCTTTTAATGGTAAATATCATTAATATCACGATTTTATTAATTAGGATTTTGTCTGCTAACTAATTTTTTGAAAAATTGGACAAAAGGACTTTAGGTGTCTGATGGCAATTGAGTCTTTTTCCCGCCAACAGGTCAAGTAGTTTTTTATTAAAGTGGGACTTTACTTCAAAATTGGTGAAAACTTTTGTTATAAAAAAAATGTGAAAACTTTTTCATCAGGAAAATAAACAAACGGAAGAGCTCGTTTGTTTGTTTGTTTTTTTTAAAACAAAATAAAATAACATTTAATACCTTAATCTTATTTTTTAGATACATTTAATATCTTAATTTTATTTATAATAAATCTAGCATTCTGACATTACTTTTCTTTCTATCCAACACCCTGATATTTTTTTAGTTATATCTAGCATTCTTTTTTTCTTTTTTTTTGCCAACACCCAAACCTTATATATGACTTAGGATGTTGCTTTAGTAAAAAAATATTACTTACTTTTAAAACATTATTTTAAATATAATTGAGAAAATCTTAGAAAAATACTCCTAAAATTTCAGGCAAATCAATGACTCCAATTTTAATAAGATGTGCTAAAATGAAATTTGAAAATAATGCATTTTTATCACACTACCTTACTTTATATATACACATACAGTGGCACTGGAAAACGGACTGGTCCAAAACTATAAGGATCTTATTGACCACCCAATCCAGAGGAAACAACATAAACAATTTAGGTCCTGTTTGGGATAGTGGTAAAAATCCCTCATAAGCATGTTTTATGTAGGTCGAGACAAAATTCTTTTTATATACTTGTCTCGTATTCTATAAATTACAATTGAAAAGTACTCATAAATTATTCCAAGTAGGTCCTTAACAATCAGGAGTAATATAAAAACCAAAACTAATAAAAGATCTAAAAACCGGGCCACAAATCCAACCCAAACTAAAATTTAGAGACCAAACACAGAACAAAACGCCGACCCTTTCCCCCAGCTACGGCCCCAGCGCTACCAAGAAATAAGATAATCATAAGCATATCATTGTATTAGAAGTGGTGTGGAGCGAAAGCCAAGCTATTGGTAAACGCTGTTATTGACCACTGGGATCAGGATGTAAATACTTCATGTTACTGTTCTTTCCAACTGAATAGGGACAGTTCTATCTACATACAAATTATGGGGGCCAAAATTAATTTCATCATTTTTACAAACAAATATAAACATGTTTTAAAATAAATTTTACTAGACATAGACATCGAATGAGGGAGTTTTGTGACAATTTGAATTGTTTATTAAATTGTGCACAGTGATTATTGTAAAAAAAAAGAATGAGGAAGTGACACTGACAAAATTCACTTATGATATAAAAATTTTAACAAACCGTATTATTGATGTGGGAACCATAAATTATGCGGCTCAGTTCTCAATAAATTTCACAATGTGTTTGTGCGGGAGACCCACACTTACTTAACAATATAACTTATATACGTCCACCTATGCATGGGGCCTATATGCCATACACGAGGCTGGATTTAGTTTGATTAATGAAACAACTTATAATAATATAGTGCTTGCATGATGAATAGACTCCTTGTATATTTGGTATTAATTAATTTTATTATAGAGCTTAATCTCACCATATTTTTTCTCTGTCATGGCTTCTTTGGGACCACACATTTCAACCCAACCACAATATTTGAAAAGGCTGACCTTTCAAAGAGATAGATGCAAAAAGATCGATGTTAGTTATAAGAAAATAATACTACTTGTAATGCTTAATATAAAAGCTAGATAACTATTTTGAAGACATAAAGAAGATTAGTTAAGTTACATATTTGTAATAAATAAATGTTACCTTCTTTAAAATATTCTTATTAATCATAAGCATTAGAACACTGCCAGAAAAAAAAGCTTTTAACGTTGGTTATTAAGGGTTTTTCACGACGGTTTTAGAGGCACAGTGGATACAGTCAACGTTGAAAGGTAAATAAAACACAGCGGTTGAAAACCGCCGGCGGTTCTGTTAAAAACTGCTATGAAAAATCAAATTTCCACTGTGATTATTAATAAAACCGCCATGGAAATTCAATTTTCCACGACAGTTTTTAACAGAACCGCTGTGGTAAATTGTTTTAACGGCGATTATTTAAATAACCACCATTAAAAAGTTACTTTTTTTAAATAATATTGCGTGAATTTTTTTTACCTCCCTACAGTTTACAATTCCAAATAAATCCAGGCAGTGCAGAATACACAAAACTATTTCAAGATAACCATATGAACAAATAATCAACTAGCTAGTTAATATATATACATACAACGTAGCAAGTATTGAAATTTCTTTTAACATAGGCACAAGGCTTATAAGGGAATCTGTCTAGGCAGGACATGCATAAACCAATCCTATAATTACAAGATGATACCTTAGAAGTAGCTTGCTACTTCTCCTAACAACAAGTAAAGGCATAATTCCAAGAATAGTAACAAACTAAATGAATTCTATCTGCACAATAGAACTAAGGAACATGTATAAAGGGAAAATTAAGCGAAAAAATCTAAAAATGAATTTTTTGAGGAATGACTTAACTATTTCAAATTTTTGAAATTCTATAGCAATATTGTTGACAAAGTGTCCCTCATCAAGTTGATTTCATCTATGTGATATGGCGCAGCATTTTGAAATACTTGTAAATAAAAAATGACATATTCAACTTAATCAAAAATGCGAAAAGAATTGAAGAATTACATGCAATGTAACTTATCTTTACCTCGTCTAATTTCTTAGTCACTCCTGTCTCAATGATGTCATTCGTGTAGTGGATGACATAATATCTACATTCAACACTCCCTTGTTGACAGCAGTACTAATAAATAAAATATAAAATTGAATATTAGATGTTGATTATGAACATTGAATTTAATTATTGAAAAAGATTTAAAAGTATATATTTAGCTCAAAACAACATACTTTTAGGAGAATCCACGTTGGTGGTTGTCTATTTTGCTTCTTCGCCACAACATTGAAACCATGAAAAACCCTATCAGTAATTAAAAAAAAAAAGATATTAGAGCATGTTTTTCTAAACTTTACACGTAATAAATATATAAACCTAAACTAACGTGTCGATAACATCTTTGGTTTCTTCAGATGGACTTCCACAGAGGGAATCAAACCAGTAGATTTTGTTATCAAAAGGGACACAAACAATTAGGGTCCAATGATAACTACAAAATACAAAACATGTTAATTATAATCATATACATACAACTTGTGTATTTCAAATACAATAATATACTTACCCTTCCACGTAAGGTGCAAAATATATTTGCTTTCTTGTCTGAGTCATTATGGTCATCATGTAGATTGACCTCACTTTCACAGTATTGACTATTTTCTGCACCTTTTGAGAACACATAAAGGCATATGTTCCTTTAAGTCCTCCTTACTGACAGATTTGAGTAAAGTACCTGTTGTTCAAATAAGAAACATTAGGACATGCATAAGTATAACATGAATTAAGAAAATGATATTGTAACTTACAAAATAGCTAGCTACATGAAGACTATATCCAACTCCTCAAAATTGAGGAACTGAACGAGGTCCTTCTTGTCAATGGTGAAGTCATATGTTACTCTGAACCCACAATCCCCAGCAACATCTTAAAAGTAACGAGTTTATCCATGTTTGCCATTACGGAATGAAGAACCTCCAAATTGGAATTCGTAAGCGCAAGATTACCAGGAAGAGGCAGGAATACAAGATCTGATAATGCGCTCTTTGTAGCCTTCTTTGCTGTCACCTTCTTTGTCAATGGCTTTGCAACAAGTCTCTTTGGCCATAAAATGAAATGTCCTTTAGCCTAAGCCAATAGTCAAACCTCATCAGTAGGGTTGGGCACTAGTGTACCACCATGACCACGAATAATCCTATCCATCGTCACCCTCACTTGATCTTTCAAAACTTTCATGTTGTGGATCATTGTCCCCAAGAATGCTCAACCATTAGCAACATGAACAACTGAATCTTCAAAGTCCACATAAAGAGTACACAGCATTCCATCGTCTTCAACAGGGTCAGGGCTAGGGTCAAGGTCAGATATTGTTAGTTGCTGCGTTTGATTATTACTGCCCTTTTCACCTTTTATCACAGGTGAATCCTGAAACATAATATGAAATTAGTTAAGGCGCATTAAATAGGTTTAAATGGATCAAATGAACCTTTAGAAAATTTGAAAAGATGTGTGATTATTGTAATATCCTAAAATTTTATGTTAGGATTTTAAAAAATTTTTTAAAAAAATTAATTAATTAAAATAAATAAATAATAAGTAAATTAAACAAATAATATATATTATATTATTATAAAATAATATATTTTATTATAAGTTTTGAAAAAATATAAGTCAACTTTCCATCGAATTTCGGTGGAAAGTTGACACTGGAGGTAGAAATTTGGGGAACGCGTTTCCCTGCTCAGCGGGAGATGAGCACTGATAGCTCATCTCCCATGTGCACCGTTTCATTAAATAAAAAAAAATAACCTGTACACTCCAAAACAAAATCGCTTCTGCTGTGCTCCTAGGGAAAATATTTGTTGTTCCAGCCGCCACAAGAGAAAGCGAATTACCACACTTGGTGCCATTGAAAATTGGAAAAAAACTGAATTTCGGTGGGAAAAAAGTTGAATTTCGGTACAGAAAAAATTTCAGATTGAAGAAGGCATCAGATTTCAGACCTTTGCGAGAAGAAGGCATCAAAGGTTTCTTATCTTCCATCTTTTTTGCGTTCTCTAACAATCTTATTTATATATTTTCATATATATTAAAATGGGGTCATATGCAGGTTATTATTATTATATATATTATATATAATTGAAATTTAAAGTGGCTTTAGATGGTTTTGTTTTCTGATTTAGCTTGTTAATGTTATTATGTGAGTAAGCTATAACTTGTGTTTATATTTTTGTTTGAAGAATGGTATTTGAAAAATGATCATTTTTTTGTATATTTGGAGTTCATAAAATTCCAAATTCCTATTGATGATATTTTTTAAATTGTGATATATTTATCGTATATAGGAACCATATCATGGAAGATGAATTTAAACTCGAAATAGGGAGAGAGTTTGAAAGTTTAGATGAAGCTTGGAACTTTTGGAATGAATATGGGAGTAAAATTGGTTTTGGAGTTAGAAAGTATAATGGAACAAAGAGTAAAAAAGATGGTTCCATTATTACATATAGATATGTATGTTGTAAGGAGGGTATTCGGAAAAAAGATAGAAGAGAGACAACCACTTCTAGATATCGGCCTGAGATAAGAACCAATTGCAAGGCAAGAATGGTTGTATCTCGTATAGATGAAAAATTCAAAATCACCAAGTTTAATGAAGAACACAATCACCCTCTTCATACACAAGAAACAGTGCACTTGTTACCATCACAGAGAAATTTATCAGAAGTTCAGGCTCATGAAGTAGATCTTGCAGAAGAATCTGGGCTTGAACCTAAGGAAGCTTTTGACTTAATGAGTACATATGCTGGTGGTCAAGAAAATCTTGGTTATACCATGATAGATGCAAGGAACTACTTGATGAAGAAAAGGCGAAAGCATATAAAGTTTGGAGAGGTGGGATGTCTTCTTGAATATTTTCAAAAACGAATTGTTGAAAATCCTTCATTTTATCACAAATACCAATTGGATATGGAACAACAAGTTACCAATGTGTTTTGGGCAGATGCTCGTATGTTAAAAGATTATGCACATTTTGGTGAGGTTGTATCACTAGACACGACATATAGTACAAACAGGGATCATCAGCCCCTTGCACTTTTTTCTGGTTTTAACCATCATAGAAGTGTGGTTATTTTTGGAGCAGCGTTGTTATATGATGAGACCATTGAGTCTTTTAAGTGGCTGTTGGAAACTTTCTTAGATGCTCACACACAAAACAAGCCTCAAACAGTGTTTACTGACCAGGATCAAGCTATGGCTAGAGCATTGAGTGAAATACTTCCTAATACAAGACATTGTTTGTGCACTTGGCATTTATTACAAAATGGCATTAAACACCTTGGGAACTTGATGAAAGAAGGTTCACACTTTTTGACTGACTTCAAAAAATGTATGTTTGATTATGTCCAAGTGGATAAATTTGAAGAAGCCTGGAGTAAATTGTTATCTTCTTACAATGTCCATGAAAATGGATGGTTGAACTCCACTTACAATATTAAGGAGAAATGGGCCAGGTGTTATATGAAAGATGCCTTCACACTAGGTATGAGAAGCACACAGGTTAGTGAAAGTGTGAATGCTGAGGTGAAGAGATGCACAAAGCCAAAATTAGATATTAATCGATTCTTCAAGAGATTTGATAAAGTTGTAGAAAAGAAACGATTTAAAGAGTTACAACTTGAGTATGAATCTTGACAAAAGATACCGAGGATGGTCAATCAAAGTGCACCTATCTTGCGCCAACTTGTGCAATTTTATACCCCTGCTGCTTTTGACATGTTCCAGGAACAATGGGACCTCCAGTTCTCCGTAAAATTAATTGAACGTGATGAGAAAGAATCATTGTTTGTATACACGGCCCATATGATAGATGAAGAGGGGGAATGGAGAATTGAGTTTAACCCTGAACACATGAAATTTGTTGTAGTTGTCAGAAATTTGAGGCCACTGGCATATTATGTTGCCATGCATTGAAAGTATATGAGTCCAAAGATATAAGAGTTATGCCTGAACAATATATTCTCAAGCGGTGGACCAAGGAAGCAAGGAATGGGATTGTCCATGATATCAAAGGAAATAAGATACAAGTAGATCCTAGACTTGACACAACACGAAGATACAGACAACTGGTGATTAGTATGGTAAGATTGGTAACACAGGCTGCTATTACTCCTGAGGGATTTGCTTGTGTTCATAAATGTATTATTGAGTTAAAAAAAGAGTTTACTCAAGATAATGAAAATGATACTTTTGAACCAGTCATGGAGCCAGAAAATATGCCAAAGGGATTCAAGAAAAGAGATGGAAAATTTAGAAAGAAACGTCACAAGGTTGGGAAGAGAAGAATCGACAAAAAAGAAGAAAAGTTGCACCAAAGGTATTAAAATTTAATTCATATATAAGGAAAAAACTAATATTTACTCTATATTTATATTTATAGTTATGTGTTGTAGGACCCTCCAGAGACTTCATCATCTAAGAAGTCATCCAAGAAAAAACAAAAGGCTTCATCACAAATGAAGGATATTCAAACTCAAGCTTCAACAATCTCACATTTAGAAGCTTCAACACAACTTTCACAAACACAAGACTCAACTTTTTCATTCTCTGTTTCTCCAACACAACATGGTTTTCCACCCTCTAGGTCACAACCATTGTCATATACAAGCTTATTGATGGTATGAATTGATAAACTGTTTATCACTAAGTGTTGTATATAGCTTTTATACTTTAATGTCACTGCCATTTCCCTTTGCAAATATAGGCACAAAGTATTGCAATTCCATCACTTGAAGCCATAGATCTCATGCCAAACTATATGCAAGGTAATAAATATAAAAATATATGCACCCAATTTAAAAATAACATTTTATTCAGTTCAACAATATCATATACAATTTGCTTTTTTTGTACATTTTAGCCTCTTTACAGATTTGACATGTTACATGTTTTTTTTTTCATACAGGAGAGTAAAACACACTCAGGACTTTTTATGGCTTTTGGAGACTGTTATAGCGTTCGTCTCGCTACTTTATGGCTTAGCATTGCTTATCATAACAAGTTCTAAATTTTGGAGATAGTTTGCTTTGCTTGTTTGGGCTACTTTGCTTTAATGAGCGCTTTCTGGCTTTTTGCAAAGCTTAAAGGACAAACTTCTGTAGGATGGGATTTCAATTAATGAGATTTAAATAATATTTTGATTAGGATTTGGATATATTGAATTAAATAAGGAGTATCATTATTGAATGGGATTTCAATTGGAGAGAAAAGTTAATAATTAATTTTAGATTTGAATAATATCTTAATTGGGATTTGAATACATTCAATTAAATGAGAAGCATAATAATTAAATAATACTCCTTCGATCCTAAATATAAGACCCATTTTGTAGTGTAATTTACACTACAAAATGAATCTGTATTTAGGTCCAGAGGGAGTATGTCAACTGGGGGCTTAAATGGACAAATAAATGAATAAATTTAAATTTTTATATGTTTCTCCTAATTTCTGAATTTTTAATTCAAATCTTATTTGAATGAATAAAAAAAATCACTCTTCTAAAAGAAGTGAATTTTGAGCTACCTTAAATAATACAATTTATTAGAATTTAAAAGTTCATTAAATATTCTAGTCCGTGCATCGCACAAGGAAATTTTTTTTTAGTTTTTATACTAAATCAGCATGCTTCATTTTCTAAAACAACTAATTCTTGCAATTAACTATGGCAAAGTTGACATGAAGTCTAGTTTGGCACCACATCGATGCAAAAAATTATGCACCAATAGTTGTGAGCCTTTATCAACTGAAATAATGTTTAACGAGATTAAAGAATAGAAGCAAAGAATACACCAAGAGTAAAATTCCTAAGGTAGCAACGCAGTATTATTTGGGAGGTTCCTAAGTTACCAGTGTTACGCTGAAATAATGTTCGCCTAAGAGTGTAGCAGAAGCGACTTTGTTTTGGAGTGTACAGGTTATTTTTTTTGTTTAATGAAACGGTGTGCATGGGAGATGAGCTATCAGTGCTCATCTCCCGCTGAGCAGGGAAATGCGTTCCGAAATTTGGAGGGGGTTGTGGTAGAATTCAACCCCCTCAATAAATGTTTAGGGGTGTTAAATACCCCCTCTCCCAAATTCATTTCTCACGTTAGACGCAAGGAGGAAAGAGAGATAGAGTGGGTGAGGAACGAGAGAAAGATAGAGTGGGGGGAGCAGACCGGTAGAGAAGGAAATAAGCTTTGAAGATATTTTAGGTACATAAAATTACTTCTTTTTATCAGACTTTCTTTATGAATATTTCCTGTATATTTTAAGCTTCCTATTTACATCATTACTGTAGTGATTGGAGAAAATTTTGAGACTTATATATGATATAAGTATTGAGTTTGACAAAAGATTACTATAGAAATTTAAAAGTAAATGAGTTGTTAATTTTAATCGGTTTAGATTTGTCTATTTGTTAGTTTTAATATTTAAATTAATTTATTTAGTTGAAAATATGTTATTTATGGGATATACCATATTTTTACCGATTAAATTTAAGTTAAATAATTTATTTGGATTGTTTGCTATATTATTGAAATTTTAATCGGTTTAATTGTATTTATTGGGTGACTGGAGGTTTTAAAATAATTATTGTAGCTAAAAAGTTTATGGAAATATATTTATGGTAGTTATACCATTAAAGTTTTGATTAGATTATTTATTTATAAATATTTGAAGTATTATTGAATTTTTTAGAGTTTGATTTTGAGTTTAAACTGAAAATGAGATTTTCAGAATTTAGAACATAGTAATTTTATATTTGGAAATTGTGAAAAATTCTTTTTATCAAGGTAAATAATTTGGAGGTGGTAAATAAATAATTTGGGTTGTTAGAAATTTTAAGTTGTTTCTAAAATACTTAATAATTTTTGGGTTATGAGAGTTGCGGGAATTTAGAATAAAAATTTAATTAGATTAAAAATTTAAATAATATAGAGAAGTTTAATTCATTAATTAGCTTATATTAATTTGTGATTATATTAATGGTGTAGATTAATTATTGGATTGTTGGTTTGAGCACGGGGTTGACTTGTAGTAATTCTTTTTATAGCCTTGGTGAAAGGTAACCACTTTTCACTTGTTATGTATGCTTGTATGATGTTTGTGAGTGATTTTGAATTATATGAAATTATTGAAATGCCATTGAATTATTATTTGAGCAATGAAAGGCATCATTGTTGAAATTGCCTTGAGATACTTTATGTTATTGAAAAATAGTATGAAATTATGAATTTATAAATTTGTTATGTGGAACAAGAATTTATTGAGAAATGGTGTGAGGACTGATGTTGATTATTGAAATTTCGAAATCTCGATTTTGGTAAATATGAAAGTTATTATGTTATTGGTAAATGACTATTCTCATGAGTATAAATACGAGAGGGGACGGTGAACGTTGATTGGTGGGAGACATGTTATAGGGAGAATAAGGGGGTGAATTTTTGTGCATATTATAGAGGTAATAAGGTGGGAGGACGCCAGATGTACACTGGTTGATCCTTTGGCCCCATCATGTGTTGCAGGGCGTATGACATCTCGCTAGTGGACTAGAGGGGGAACCCATGGTCCGATCTTGTGCTCTGTGGATTTTGGCCTATTCACATCACTTAATCAGTGAGCTTATTATGTTGAACTACCAGTCACATGGGACAGTACTAGCCCATGGGTTCGGTCAGAGGAAATAAGGTGTGAGGAAATAAGGTGGAATTGAGAGTGAGATATTGTATTTTGATATGTCTATATATATATAACCATATGACAATTGTGAATGTTATGATTTTAGTAACTGTTCCACTTGGCACCTCTCAAGCACTTACTTGTATGCCTAATGAGTAGGATTGTTGGTTACTGAGGCTTTTGTCTCACCCCGTGGTTTAACATTTTCAGATAATAACTCTAGGACTGGTCCGTCAGGGAAGGCAGCGAAGGCTTAACTATCAAGTTTATCTTGTATAGCCTCCTTTTTGTCATGTGATGAGTATTGTATATTGCCACATATAACTCTTTTTGCATACTCTGATTTATTTGAGACTTATAGTCTTAGTTGCTTTTGTTGTCGAGTTGCTTAGGTCTGTAAGTTGTGAACCCATAATGACTTTTGAAAGTAGTTGATTACTGTTGGTTTGGACAAATTTTATTTAAAAAATATCATGTTATGGGCTTAGAGATGAATTGTGACGTGTTGGACTTTGCAAAGCCCAAGGCCCAATTATTGTGAAATATTATTAATTACGGTTTTTATGCAATTTGTTTAGTAAAACTCTTATAATCATGATAGACATTTTGAATAATTAGGTCAAGTCTTTTCTATCATGATTAACATTTTTGGCGAATCAAATTTCTTTTTATAACCATGGTAGCCTTTTTATTATGCTAAGATTCTTTTCTATCATGGTTAGTATTATTAAATATTTGGTGTTTAAAAAGGTTAGTAACAGGTTGGAGATAACCGATATTACAATTATTACCTGGGAAGGTTCAGACACTCGGGGCATCTAGAATTCGGCCGTGCCCATCATCATCATAACCTGTTGAAACTTGGCATCAAACTCTTCATGTATCTTTTGCATCTCCACCTTTTATTGTTCATTGAATTCAGCTCAAACTCTCTCTGTTTCTTTATATAATCGCTGGTCGAGCTCCCCTTTAGA